CCGCAAGCAAGTCCGAGAACAAGAGGTCCATCATCACCAAGGCTGTACAACATCTGCTAGACATCAAGGCAATTGAACCAGTTCCCCCGGGCGAGAGGGGACAGGGTGTCTACTCCATATTATTCATGGTCCCCAAAAAGAACGGAGACTGGAAAGCAATCTTGGATCTCGAGTTCTTGAACAAAGTCATCCGGCTGCGGCATTTTCATATGGAGACTCTGAAGGCGGTAGCGGACTCTCTATCTCCGAACGAATATCTAACCTCCATCGACCTCACAGAGGTATACCTGCATGTACCCATTCATCAGGCCCACCAACTATTCCTTCGTTTTTGTATCTACAATCTCCATTTTCAATACAGGGCACTTCCATTCGGGCTTTCTACGGCACCCAGACTGTTCTCCAAGTTAATCATAAATCCTGTGGTGCACCTCAGAAATCAAGGGATACATGTCCATCTCTATTTGGACGACCTGCTGATCCAGGCCTGCAGTCAGACCGAGTCCGTCAGGAACACTGAGAGGACACTGCAGTGTCTGCAGAGACACAGATTTATGATCAACCTCGAGAACATCTTGGCGCTGTAATAGATACGGCTCGCAAATCTCTCTTCCTTCCACGGTCCAAAGCCACGAAGATCAAGGACTTCGCTTCGAGAGTTTACCGCAGCAGGGTGTCGCCTCTCATGGAATTGGCCAGACTTCTGGGCCTGATGATTTCCAGCATCGAGATGCTGCAATGGGCACATATGCATGCCAGACCACTGCAAGTATTCCTCCATCCTTACCAACTTTCCATCATGGAAAAGAAGTCCATCAATCTTCAGGTGCCCTTCATGGTCAAGAAGAGCCTCCGTTGGTGGACAAACATGGACAACCTACTGACCGGCAAGATTTTCTACGTCTGTCATACCAGGGAGATATTCACAGACGCCAGTCTCCAGGGCTGGGGGGCGATCTTAGACTGCTCCCCAGTCCAGGGATCATGGCTTCCAGCTGAGAAGATGCTTCCCATCTATCTCCTGGAGCGCAGGACAATCCATCTTGCCCTGATTCACTTCTCCTCTCGTCTTCGCAATCAACACGTCCTGGTGAGAACGGACAACATGTTCGCCAAGGCTCACATCAACAAACAAGGTGGATCCCAATCCTCGCAGCTGCACAAGGAGGCGATGAAGATTCAGTCCTGGGCAGAGAGGAACATTGCTTCCCTGAGGGCTGAACACATAAGAGGGATCGAGAATGTGCAAGCAGATTGGCTCAGCAGAGAGGTCATACAGGAGGGAGAGTGATCGCTTCACCCTCGACTCTTCAACATGCTGATCCACCACTTCGGACGTCTGCTAGTGGACCTGTTCACGTCTCCAAAGAATCACAAGGTTCCAAGATTCTTCTCCAGTTCCTTCCACCAGGAGGCGGAGGCGACGAATGCGCTCATGGCAACATGGCCTCAGTGCTTGCTGTATGCATTCCCGCCATTCGTTCTGATCTCCAGAACCATTCGCAGGGTCAGGGAACTGAAGGCAGAAGTCTTCCTGGTGGCTCCGGGATGGGGGCATCAGCCATGGTTCTCGGCTCTGCGGGAGATGTCGACACTTCCACCAACGGTCCTGCCAGTGTCCCCGGATATGCTGTCTCAGGGCCCTGTGTGGCACCCAGATCCAGCCTGGTTATGTTTGACTGCGTGGAGATTGAGCGTCGCAATCTGGCAAGACGGGGATATTCTCCTCAGTTCTTGGACACCTTACTGGCATCCAGACATCCTTCCAGCATACGTATATATAATACCACATGGAAGGTGTTTGTGAGATGGTGTAGACGTAAGAGTGTGGATCCATTGTCACCTTCAGTAGCTTCCCTTCTCTCGTTCCTACAGGAGGGATTGGACACAGGTCTGAAATCTTCTACTCTTCACAGACAGCTAGCGGCGTTATCCACAGTCTTACCTTCCTTGGAGGGCTTCAAGCTTAGTAGACATCCGCACATCCAGCTCTTTCTGCAGGGCGCAACCGTCAAGTCTCCATCATAGTTACATCGTTTCCCAACGTGGAGATTGAATACAGTGTTGAATGCACTCACCAAGGCCCCGTTCGAACCTCTTAGGGAGGTAGGACTGCGATGGTTGAGGATGAAGACATTGTTCCTAGTGGCTATCACATCAGCCAGGAGAGTTTTGAAGCTCGGAGCCTTGTCAACTAAAGCATCACTCTGTTTTTCACAAAGACAAGGTAGTGCTTCGGACCGATCTGACCTTCCAGCCAAAGGTGGCCTCCACCTTTCACCGTTCACAGGAACTTAGTTTGCCTACCTTCTGTCCTCATCCCAAACATCCTAAGGAACAACTCTGGCATACCTTGGATGTCAAAATGGCGCTCAAAATCTTTATTGCTAGAATGGAGACTTGGAGGAAGACGGAGTCTCTATTCATCAAGATTTATCTGCCACACAAGGGAGAAAAGATGTCCAAGTCTGCGATCAATTCGACACTGAAGGCCTGTATCGTAGAGGCATATCGGGCGTCAGGACTGGAAGTTCCTAGTGGCATTACGGCTCATTCCTTGAGGAGCGTGGCTACTAATGCGGCATTTTTCAACAAAGCATCTGTGGAGGCGGTGTGTAGAGCAGCCACCTTGTCTTCCATTTCCACTTTCGTACGTCATTACAAGATTAACACTGTTGCTTCTGTGGATGCAGTCTTTGGGAGAAGAATTCTTCAGCACGTCGTTTCAGTGGAAGAAGATGACAACCCACCCGAATGAAGGACACTGCTCTGGGAGGTCCTATAGAGATGTCCTCCACCTCAGAGGGAGAATGACCATTGGTACTCACCGTGAGGGGTCCTTCTCCTCTGAGGTCAGGAGGACATCTCAGCCCTCCCGCTGTCATCTTCTCTGATATCATTTTCTGTGCTGAAGGCTTCTCCCTTCCTTTCTTCTCTTTCTATGGACCTACGTGATTGCAGGGTCTTTCCTTTTGGAATTGCCAAGTTTGAGCAAAGTTTACTGTTTGAAGTTATGTTTTTCTAGGGCAAGGTTTTTCAGGTTAGACGGCTAGCACTGCTTTCGGAGTCTCAGAACTGAGGGTTGGCTATTCCGGAGGCACCAACAGGAAGGGGGAAAAACTATTTCCTGCCTCCCTAAAGGCACGGTGGGAATAACCCATAGAGATGTCCTCCTGACCTCAGAGGAGAAGGACCCCTCACAGTGAGTACCAATGGTCATTTCCTCCCCGTGCCTGAATCAGCCCTTCCCTTATTTCGCAGGGGCTGTTTCTAGCTGTGGTGTTGGCTTCTCCCATTTTATCTTGGGTTTCCCATTTGACCCAGCAATGTATGAAGGAGCAATGCAGTTGCAGCTGCCAGATGAGGCAGAGTACCAAACTAAAGACAGTTCCTGCCATCTGCGGTTTATTTAAAATACCTTTAAAACTGCTTTTTCTCCCAGTACACTGCCATTCACTTTTTTTTATTGGGTCTGTCATGGCTCAGGTGGGGTGTCACCTGACGCTGCCACCACTCTGGATTTAGGATCCATTGAGAAGGCCCAGAGCACCCTCCCAAGTCCTTCTGACCTCCCTTTTGGCCGAATAATAGGCATGAGGACCAGGCAGAGTGAACAATGAAAATAGTTTATTTTATAAGAAGTCAAACAAACAAGGTGCAGAAATATAACAGTAAGTGGGTGAAAAGAAATCAAATGCCCTAACGCATCTAAATATATACTATCCCTAGCTCACTATCTCAAGTGGCCTTGGACTACTCACCCTTCCCTCAGGATGTGGGTTTCTTCCCACAGCAGCCTTCCTTCTGGCTCTGCCCTCTGCGAAGAAGAACAGCTTTTCCTGCTGCTCCAGATTTTTTATTCTAAGCCCTCCTCTTTTCCTGTTGGTCAATTTTGGCTCCAAAACCTCTCAGGGGCTTCTGGGAGTTGTAGGCCCAGCCTCACCTACTGCTAACCAGGCTCCCTGGGCCTAGTAGGCCTCTGGTTGGCACAGCCCAGATCATGACAGGGTCATACTTCTTAGTCAAGCTGATAAATCAACTAGAGGCTGCAAACCTAATTATGGTGTGTAAGATTACATAAATATCTATAATAGTTTTAATTTCTGAACAAAATTCTGTGAAGGGGTTTATTAATCTTTTAAGTGTAAATTTACTAGGGCTTTATGGACTGGAGGGTGGTTGAGGTGGCTAAATTTGTCACCTGTTCAGTTTTAAAACTACCAATAATATTCATCCACTGGGTATATGTTTAACATTCAGTCCTATGCAATAGTTATTTTGAAAATTTGTCTGCATTTATATAAACTAATATATTCAAGTAAGCAAAGGTTTTTCTCATTCTCTAGAGCCTTCTTAAGAGCTGTGGCATAGATCTAGGGATTAGACTATATGCAAACTGGAATTGCTTAAAGATAAAAAACTAAGTGGACATTATTGACCAATGTGCCCCAAATGGGATTTTCCTGTGGCAGCGTTGGGTAGTCTAAGGAAATGTGTTTTATTGTCCGTTGCTCCTAGGCGGCTTTTCACAAAGCAATGGCTGCATTGTTACACAGTTTTTACAGTTAAAAGAAAAAGGACTTTGAATGAAGTAAATGTGGTAAAAGTCAATCAAAATCTCAAGTGGTCTTGCAGCTCTAGTGTGATAGGTATGTGACTATTTTAGGTGTCCCTTGGCCCTTATATCAGGAAATGTCAAACTCATTTGGCTACCTTAATTGACCCAAATCTACTTAAATAGTATTCTTTTCACATATATTATAACAAGAACTGTTTCTTTAGGCTACCTAAGCTAATCTTTGGATTTGCTAAATGAGATCCAACTTTTGTTAGGGTCAGATAGAGACCAAATAGAGACTGTATTTCTCATAGAAATGTTATATGCGTAATGGTGGACTAACATTTTTGAAATTTTCATTTTCAGTATTTACTGAAAACGTACACTTTCTGATCAGTCTAGCTACTTCTGCTTGATTTTATAATGAATTATTCACTTTACAGCCTTCCAGTAGTTTCACAGCAGAAGACTGTTATCCTAAATGGAGACCTGACTTCATGTTGGAATCCAGTAAGCAAACAGTCCAGATGCTGGTAAACGGCCCTCTATAATGGATCACTCATCTCTCTACTAGATATAAAAAAATGGGAAACAACATAGGAAACCTGTGAAAGGTAAATGTGTATTATTTTTAGAGTTGTGTAGTGTGTGCGTGCGCTGAAGTAGTCTGCAAGAAGTGTATGTCATTCATTTGCTGCAGAAAACAGGCAAGTTTGTAAGGCCTCAGATATAGTGTTGGATCCACCACCAAGCCATTCAAGCAAAGACTGTAGATTTTCCCTGCTTTCACTCTCTCCCCAGCAGCCATTTCTGACCCTAGGGAAAGCTGATTCATGGAATTGCAGAACCATATGTGGTTGTACAGTTATAGCTATTGCAAGCACATGAAGCTACCAGGGATGTGTGCTAGATATATACTGAGCTGAATAAATACCCCAAAAATTGGTATTTTGGGGTATTTATTCAACCAAATCAGATTTTCTAATCTGGTTTAGCTACGTATTTAGCTGAGCCCAGATAAAAGCCAATGTTATTCGGCTTTTATTCGGGCTCAGCTTCACTAGCCGAAGCTATATGAGTTCACCCACCTTCCAGGTTCATTGCACCACTTCTGGATTACTCGTGTGCGGTCTGGGTTTGCAAAAGCCATTTAAAGGGAAAGTTCCTTTAAATGGTTTTTGCAAAGCCAAGCTGCCCCTGTGAGTTGCAGAATCACGGCAGTGCAACTCTGTGAGTCAAGCATTTAAACTTTAAATATCTTCCCTCCCCAAGTTGTGCTGCAGCGACAGCACATCTCAGCAAGTGAAGGGAAGGCATTTTAAAGTGACATTGGCTGGTCTAGTGACCATAACAAAAAGTAAAGTCACTCACTGAGGTGTGCCGCAGTGCAACTCAGGGAGGGAAGGGAAGGTATGTAAAGGGAGCTTTGCTGAATAAATTTCGCAATACTAATTATTTTCCAAATCCCAATGTCATACCGATATTTGGATTCAGGAATATCAGTATATACCGATATTTTTCGGGTTTGGTATACCTAAACCCAAAAAATACCAATTCTTTTTTGTACACATACCTAGTAGCTACCTTGAGAATCCTGGAAGATCAAAAAGAATGGATTGTCTGTGGATATGTAACTCACTGCTTAATTTTGTGTATGTCTGAGAATTTTGTGCATGACTGTGAAACAGTGTTTGAATGAATGTGAAAAGAATGCAGATAGAAATCTGGGTCGTGGCAGTTGTATAACACTTTTTTTGCCAGGCCCACTATGACCTCTCATGAGAGTTTTGGCTGTTGTTTGGCATGTTGATATCAGAAAATGAAAAAATATATGCATATGTCATTGAATCATGGGAATCTGTAAAGCTTTTGCACTTTAGAGCTCTCCTCTAGTTTAGTGTGCTTCTCCCATTTTACCTTGAATGGGAAAGAAGGGAATCTGTGTGCATATTTGTGTGAGTAGAATGTCCTTGTACACTATTGTCTTGGTGGGAAACAGGGTGGAGCCAAAGTTTTGCCAGAATAGGGAGAACTTACACTGAGTGGAATGAAACACTCTCAAGAACAATAAATGCACAGATTCACTTCCCCAACCACAGTCATTCTGCAGTGGGGAGCAATGTGCTTGTATGCTCTTGAATCTCAAGCATACTATCCTATGTACACACATATCTAAGAATAAATGCCATTATATGGACAAATTGCTTCTGAATAAGTGTCTTTATGATTCTGCCGCATATTGCACAGAACGGTGCTCCTTTTTCTCTGTTATGCACTAGTGTGGTACAGTAAATTGTGGTTTTGAATGTCCATGTTCAGATTTCTGTTTGGCTATGAATCTCCCCAGTGACTTTGGGCAAGTCATTACTGGCCTGTCTTACCCCATATTGATATTATAAGGGCACACATTTATGCAGAGTTCCTTTGAGGAAATATGGGGTATCAATTAAGTAAGTAATTTTCTTCCTTTGTTGGCGTGTGTGTGTGTGTGTCTTTTTTTGAAGCAGGATTGCTATTGGCATTATTTGCCTATGAAATCTCTTGTGCAGCCATGTAAACATATTAATAATCTTTATCTTTGATATCCTTTTTAGGAATTGTTTCCATAATTGTGCCTCTAGTGACTGCCACCAACCTGCCAGATAAGATTTTTCCAAAACCACTAGCATCAATAAATGTGAATGTGGGACCCCAAATGGTAAGTACAGCTCTTTGACAATGCTATATGATACAAGCATATGGCAGACTTCCTGTTTATGTGAAAAGTAGCAAAAGATAGTAGAATGGACCTTCAGCATATGTTTGATAGCACTGTGTTCCCTGCAGGAGTTGAAATATATGTGATTTTGCATAATTCAGATAGGACATTACAGTAATCATAGAACTTAGTTGCTGGTGTAATATTTTTGGATTCTTAAGAGAACACCAAAATTTGTGCTTCATGGTACACAGATTTCTAGGTTTAATGTAGAGAGAATATTTTCCAAGCACCCATACAACTGCTTTTGTAAAGACATAAACTTCTCTTGATGATCTAGAATGGTATTGTTAAGGTCTGATTTGTGTAGGTGCAGTAAGTGGTTAAAAATAAGAGTTACACAGTTTCCTGCTGCTCCCCTGAAATAGTTTCCTTGCTTAGTATAAACACCCGTTGTATTTTCGGTGTTAAAAATGAAGCTTGTAATAAATTGAGGTCACTGGTTTAGCTCTGCTGATTGTAACAGCAGAAACAATAACGTAAGCATGGTTTTTGTGAATTTCATCTTGCTTCTTTGCTCCACTGGTCATATTTTTCTGCATATTTTATGATGATACTAAAGAGAACGTTCGCTCTGTCAACAACACTGCAGTTTCCATTATCTCCCTTATAAATGAAAGCCGAATGGTAGTGACACTTCTCTAGAACATTCCACATGCTCCAAAATCAGTTCGCTCTCTGATCTGTCTATCAGAGGGTCTCCCTATTCACTTGGCTGCTTTGCCTGAGTCCTGCCTCCAACATTCTAAACATTTTGCAGTTCTTCTCCCCCCCATAGCCAGTCAGAACACAGAGGTTATTTGCATATGCCACCTCATTGGCCTCTGCCTCGGAACTCAGAGGTCATTTGCATATGCGACTTGATTGGCTTTTGCCTCTAACATTCTAAACAGTTTTGCTCTTCTGAGGTGTAAAATGTGTCCAATCTCCAGGTGAGGGCTGGAGATCACTCAGAATTACAACTGCTTTCCAGATGGCAGAGATCAGTTCCCCTGGAGAAAATGGTGGTCTCTGTATCCTTATATGCTGCTGAGGTGGCCCCCGTATGACAGCCAATGTGACGTAGCAGTCAGGGCTTCAGAACACGGGAGAGGCTGCAGGTGTGTGGGGAGTGAAAAACTAAAGAGTGAGGGGGAAATAAAGGTAGGTTGATGATTGTCTGGGAAGGAGATGGGGTTGCCAACTCCAGGTGGGAAATTCCTGGAGATGTGAGGGATGGAGTCTGGAGAGGGTGGTTTCAGGAGGCGTGGGACCTCGGACAGGTACAAAGCCATAGACTCCACCCTCCAAACCAACTATTCCCTTCTGGGGAACCATCGTTGCCAATCTCCAGGTGAGGGCTGAAGATCACTCAAAATTACAACTGTTCTTTAGGTAGCGGAGATCAGTTTCTCTGGAGAAAATGGTGGATTCAGTGTCATTATACCATGTTGAGGTCGCCACAGCAAATTGACACTGAGTGTCTAAGGCCGGGGCACCCGCCCAGAGCCTCTTTCTAGAGGCCGTTGTATTTATTTCCACAACGAGCCTTTTTCCTAGTATTGCTATAATTATCTTATGATAGTAAAAGCAGCTTAATACTAGCAACATTTCTTAGCAGTTATTTCTGAAAATCTAAAAATGGGTGACACAGTAGAAAAATTTGGATACAAGTCCTCTAATCAAGAGTCACACATATAACTTCTATACACAACTGCATTTTGATCATTTTTTAAATTTATTATCTACAATTTCAAGAACATAAGAGAAGCCAATGTTGGATCAGGCCAATGGCCCATCCAGTCCAACACTCTGTCACACAGTGGCCAAAAATACCAGGTGCCATCAAGAGATCCAACAGTGGGGCCAGGACACTAGAAGCCCTCCCACTGTTGCCCCCCCAAGCACCAAGAATACAGAGCATCACTTGCCCCAGACTGAGAGTTCCTATCTATACCTTGTGGCTAATAGCCACTGATGGACCTCCGCTCCATATGTTTATCCAATTCCCTCTTGAAGCCATCCATGCTTGTAGCCGCCGCCACCTCCTGTGGCAGTGAATTCCATGTGTTAATCACTCTTTGGGTGAAGAAGTACTTCCTTTTATCTGTTCTAACACGATTGCTCAGCAATTTCATTGAGTGCCCACAAGTTTTTGTATTACTCACCTTTCATATGCAGCCCAAGGTGGCTTACAATGTAGATAAAATACTTAAAAGAAAATACATAAAATCCATAACCCCCCTCCCCCCAATTAAAAATCTCAGTTTAGGACTGCTAGGAAATTAATCAAATGAAGTCCTAAATAAAATTGTCTTCAGCTACTTCCTTAAGATCGACATTGAGGGGCCAGGCATAACTCTCTTTACCCGATGGCGGGTGAAAATGATTGCAGAGGAATTCTTGACCTCACTGCTAAATCAAGAAGATAACCCTGCTCCTGAAGCAGGAGTAAAGGAGGAGGAAGAGGAGGAAGAAGAAGAAAAAGACAAAATTGCAGAAAGTATGGCAGAGACGGAAAATAAAGCTGCTTCTAAGGTCAGGACTCTGTAAATGTACCACTGAACCCATAGCAATACACCTTTCCTCTTCTCAGTGTTGTACTTTATTCAGGCTTGTCTTGGTGAAGCTCAGGGCCCCTGTTTATGCACTTGGGGAGAGACCAGAGCTTTGCATACAGAGTGGCCAGGTTCAGTTCACAGCATAGCTGGGGAAGACTTCTGCTGTAAAGTTCTTCCCATTCAAAATAGACAGTACAGGGCAAAACAAACCAGTGGTGGAGCCCAGTACAGGCCGGTTTCATAAGCCAGCATGGTGTAATGGTTAGCGTGTTGGACTAGGATTTGGTGTCAAAGAGAGCATCAACAGTGGCCCCATCATTAGCCTCCTGTATTCCTCCAGATATTTGGATGTCATACTTCCAAAAAATGTATGAGGAGCCCCCATATGAGAAATCCATACAACCTCTTTCTGAACATCCAATAGGAGAATTGGAAAAATGGGCTCCTGTAACTGCTCAGGAGATAAAAGCATACATAGGATACCTGAAGAACGCTAAAGCACCCGGATTAGATGGAATTCGTCTTGAATTACTCAAGGCAGATAAAAACTGGTGGGGAACTCTATTGGCTTCCCTGTTCCCCTTTATTGATGAAACAGGGCTCATCCCCAAAGATTGGGGTATGGCAATTGTGGTCCCCTTTTATAAGAAGAGCAAAAAAGAGGATCCGTCAAATTACAGACCAATCAGCCTTCTAAGTATCACAAGCAAGTTATATGCCAAACGTTTGCTTACTAAATTTATAGATTGGCTTGAACAGGAGGAGATTTTAGTGGAAGAGCAATCTGGCTTTAGAACTGGTAGGTCCACACTCGACCATATTCTGACGCTGCAACATCTTATAGAAAAATATGGCGCTAGAGGACAAGTGTCACTCTATGCAGCATTTGTTGACCTGAAAGCGGCCTTCGACACAGTTTCCAGAGCTAGGCATTGGGAAAGATTACAGACTTTGACAATTAATAAACATTTGCTGTACCTTATCCGGGTGTAGTGGTTAAGTGCGCGGACTCTAATCTGGGAGAAGTGGGTTTGATTCCCCACTCCTCCACTTGCACCTGGCTGGATGGCCTTGGGCAAGCCGTAGCTCTGATAAGGAGCTGTCCTTGAAAAAGAGCAGTTTCTGTCAAGAGCTCTCTCAGCCCCACCCACCTCACAGGGTGTCTGTTGTGGGGAGGGGAAGGGAAAGGAGTTTGTAAGCCGCTCTGAGACACCTTTGGGTAGTGAAGGGCGGGGTGTAAATCCAATCTCTTCTCTTCTTCTTCTTGGGATGTTGTTCCATAATTGTGGGGCTGCCACCGTGGAGCCCTCTCCTGTGTGCCCACCAGACAGCTTGTTTGATTAGTAGGAGAGTAAGGAGGGCCCCTCCCTGCAATCAACTCCTGGCCAGGAACATATGGGAGAAGACAGGTCCCAAGCCATGTGGGGCCTATAAAGGTCAAAAGTAACACCTTGAATTGGGCTTCGGAACAGATGAGTAGCCACTGTAATTGCTGTAGTTATCGCGATCACATACTTCCAATAGCTGGCCCTAACCAGCAGTTTAGCCACAGTGTTCTGCACTAGTTGCAGCCTCCAAACACTCTTAAGGGGTAGCCTCAAGTGTGTAAGCCAGCCTTGAAAAATTGTAATGTTTGTGTTACTGTCCAACATATTGTTTTCAATTCATGTGTCACAGGCTTGCAACCCAAAAGGAAAGAAACAGAGTGAATAGAGTTGTAAAACTGCATTTTAGCTAGTGAAACTTTTAATGTTTTTTAGATGTAGTGCGAATTGACATGCAGGTTTTTCCCCATTTCAGCAAGCCAAGCTGTGTGCTTTTTTGTTTCCACACAATATTATTCTTCCACTCATGCACAAAACATGTGCTGACCAATTTTTCCACTGGAAATGCCACTTGGTTTTTAAATGATGGGTGGGAAACTTCCCCTACATGTCATGGATGTGTAAGGGAATGCATGCCTTGTGCTTGAATGAAAGAGAACACCCCCTCCTGTGCATTTTCACAATGAACTGGTCCCCCACCATCTGCCATTTATGTGTTGATGTCACTACTGACACCAGCACACTTGATGGCCTTTTTTTTTAGTCCAGGCAGTGTTGAAGTGCTGTTCTTCTATTATGAGAATACAAAAGAGAACAAATTCCACTTTTTTGGTGCAGGTTAGCCTATGTATCAACTGTGTACAGGACTCCATAAAGGTGTGTGGGCATTTGTATATCTGTCATGATCCTTCATGTCCAGTTTGCTTCAACAAAACCATGGTGATGGTGGGAAGAAATGACTGCTGTGGGGACTGGGAACATGTCTGCTATGTAAGCAAGAAAATCCAAGTTTTGCCACCTACATGTCAGTCATACAGGCTTCATTGTGATTTCCTCACAACTTTACAGCAAGGTA